TGTGTGTGTGTGTGTGTGTGTGTGTGTGTGTGTGTGTGTGTGTGTGTGTGTGTGTGTGTGTGTGTGTGTGTGTGTGCGTGCTGCGAAAAACCACTCTCCAATGTGTGCCAAATGTTCATCCGATCAAACCTTACCCTCCACAAACCAACCCACGCACGCAAATGTGTGTGTTTTCTTTGTGTGCGTAATCACCGCCATCATCATCACCATCATCATCACAATCATCATCACCATCACCATGACCATCATCATCACCATCATCACCATCATCATCACCAGGGCGGGGACTTTATGGCGCAGATGATGGAGTCACCGATGATGCAGCAGATGGTTGACCAGATGATGTCCAACCCGGAGATGATGGAGGGCATTGTGCGCGCCGACCCGCGCCTGCGCACCCTCCTCGACCAGAACCCGGAGCTCAGACAGGCCATGCGCGACCCACAGATCATGCGCCAGAGGTGCGACACGTGTGTGTGTGTGTGTGTGTCGTGTGTCGTGTGTGCGTGTCGTGTGTGTGTATGTGTGTGAGTGTGTTGTGTGTGTGTATGTGTGTGAGTGTGTTGTGTGTGTGTATCGTGTGTCGGGCGGTCACGTGCTTGCTCGGTCCTGCTGAGCTCCACAAATTCATCACCCCATCCCCTCACGCCTTCGCCTCCCACACACACACACACACCCTCCCGCACCACCAACGGCAGCCTTGCGATGGCGCGCAACCCGCGTCTTCGGGAGGAGTTTCTTCGGCAGCAGGACCGCGCCATCTCCAACCTGGAGGCCATGCCCGGCGGTTTCAACCACCTCCGCCGCATCACACGAGGTATTCCGGTTTTTTTTTTTTGTTTGGGGGGGGGGAGGGGTTGTTGTGTGTGTGTGTGTGTGTGTGTGTGTGTGTTTTCATGTCTTTCTTTTCTCCCTTCTCCCATCTTCCTCTTTCTCAGCTTGCTCAATCTCTCACTCATCCACTCGCATACTCGCATACTCTCACACTCGCACACTCACACACTCTCTCACTCGCCAACTTGCTCACTCACACTGTCAACCCCAACGCTATCACCCCACCCCATTCACAGACGTGATTCACCCGATGGAGGATGCCATGCGTGCGCGGGGCCGTGGTGGCGGCGATGACAATGGTGGCGATGATGAGGATGATGAGCCAAATGCGTTTGATGCGCTGTTTGCGGACGACGACGCTAGCAGCCGCGCCCGTCCAAACGAGGAGGCTCTGCCAAACCCATGGTCCTCCGCTCCACAGGCAAACCAGCAGCAACAACAGCAACAGCAGCAGCAGGCGCCACCGTATGTCTGAGATGATGCACTCGTTGTGTGCGTGGTTGTGAGTGGTTGTGTGTGTGAAGATATCGTGTGGTTCTGGGGCATGCGACACGAGCGCTGCGGCTCGTGTGTGTGTGGGTGTGGGTGTGTCTGGATCTAACGCATACGTGCACGCCACTCGTGATGTCTGCGGTGTCAGGAACCCCTTTGCAGGGCTGTTTGGTTCGCCGTTTGGGCCAAGCACGGGCGCTGCCAATGGCACGTCATCCCCGTCGTCAGCACAGCAACAACAACAACAACAACAACAGGTCAGGGATGCGGGCGTGCCTTGGTTGTGGCCGTTAGCCGTGCTTTGGTTGTTGTTTTGCCATTCCATGCCCGTCGCCTCGCGTCTGTCTGCCTGTCTGTAGCATGTCCGCATATCTACACACACACACAAACACTCTCTCTCTCTCACGCGCACTCGCACGCACGCTCACACACACACACACACACACACACTCTCTCTCTCACTCTCTCACGCGCACTCGCACGCTTGCACACCCCGCACGACGCAGGGCGGGTTCCCGTTTGGCGGGTTTATGCCACCATCAATGATGACGGGGCAGTGGGGGTGGCCGTCACAGCAACAGCAACAGCAACAGAGCACGAGCACGACAGCACCAACAGGGTCGACACAGCCAGCAACGACTGGTGCCACGACACCCTCGGCACCGACGCCAGGTGCACCTGGGCAGGCGCCTTCCTCGCGGTACTCGAGCGAGTTGCAGCAGCTGCAGGACATGGGCTTTACCGACGAGGCAGCGAACATTGCAGGTGCGATGCATGTGTCATGTGATTGTGTGATTGATGTGTGTGATTGATGTGTATGGTTGATGTGTGTGATGCTTGTCCATCTTGTTGTTGTTGTTGTTGTTGTTGTTGTTGTTGTTGTTGTTGTTGTTGTTGGTGGTGGTGGTGGTGTTGTGCTCATGTTCATCATCCACTCATGTCATCCACTCACTCATGTCACCGTCTGTCATCTCCCTGGATCACCAGCGCTGCAAGCGACCAACGGCAATGTACATTTGGCGGTGCAGCGGCTGCTGGGCCAGTGATGTGCCGCGTGAGGCGTGAGGTGGTGGAGGTGGAGGTGAGGCTGCGATTGGTCGAGCCGACCCTGCTCATGCACAACATGGTCGTCGATAAATGAAATGAGACAGCTCTCAACGCGATGATGATAACCATCCTGTAGTAGTCGTGGTGATAGGGCGGCGGCGGTGGTGGTCACTGGTGGCGGTGGTGGTGGTGGCGGTGGTCACTGGGGCGTTGTTGCACTGCAGACAGACAAACACACAAACAGACACACACAGACACAGACACACACACACACACACACAAACACACAAACAGACACACAGACACAGACACAGACACAGACACACGCAAACACACACACACACACACAGACAGATACACACTCGCGCACCATCGAGTCCTTGCGCAAGCTTGCATAATCCACAAAGCTTCACTGTCAACGAGCGCTTTTTTGAAACGAGCCACTGGTTCGATGTCCCTGTCTCGCGACACTTCCTCGCAACCGCCAACCAACACATTCGTGCTGCTGCGTACGCCAGCCAACGGCCTCGCCACCTCCAACACCTCCATCACACCTCCAACACACCTCCAACAACCAACGGATATCCGCAAGTTAAACCAAACACCAACCAAACAGCATTGATGAAAGGCGTGACGATGCGCGTATCGGCAAAACACTCGGGGTGCGAATAACTGTGTCGCGAGGGGTCACGCGGGCGTGCAGACTGCCTGCCGATCCGTTGCGGTGCAGCTTCGCGCACTGAAAGCAGGAAAGCCGAGGAAGAGGCGCAGGTTGTGGCCGCGACAAGCTAACAAGCTGGCGAGAGAGAGATAAAGAACGGGAGGAGGCGTGGTTCTTGTCTTGTTTGTCAGCAGCAGCAGCAGCAGCAACCTCCAACAGCAACCTCCTGCAGCAATCACCAGCAACGACAAGAACGACAGGCAGATATGCTATGGATGGTGTTGTGTTGTGACAACACCGGTGTTTGCCTGGTGATGCTGACGCGGCTCATCTTTGAATGTTTCGAGTGGGTTTGTGCATGGCTCACGGGTCAGCAGGCAGCACACGCAAGCAGTTCAAGCCGTCCCATCCTGCTCAGTCAGCCAAACGACAAGGGCAACCGCCGCCGCCGGCACGCTGGCACGCTGGCACGGGTCACTCGAGACACTGATTCGACCCCTTTTAGGATGTTGGCTGTGTGGTTGCACATCCACAACAAGACAACAGGTCTTCGCTTGTTTGTGTTGTGCTGTGTGTGTGATGACATGACGGTTGTGGGCTTGTTTCGCTTGTGTGCTGGTTGACCTCCATCATCCTTGTTTGTGTTTCTTCGATGGTGATGACGTGAGCGGCGTGGGGGAACAACATCCTTCCGCCCCACAACAAGCACTCACTTTGGCGTCAGCAAGTCGTTGGGCCTTTTTTTCTGCTTTGAACCGCGCGGCAACGCCACCTGTGTGGTGTTCGCCACTGCGAAGAGCGCTTGTTCGCCACCCACCCATCTTTGATCGCCACTGAACAAGAAAGAAGTGAAGCAAAGACAGCAGCAATACAGTTTATTTTTCGGTGTTGCCGTCGCCATCGCCACCGCATGGCATTGTTCGGTACCCCGAAATAGCTCCTTCAGAAAACACCGAACGTCACGATTTGTCGCGAGGCACAGGTATTTCGTGTCGTATGCCCCGGTGGCATACCTAATTTTTCAGGACCGCACCCGAAACCCTAGCCACAACCCGCGCCCAACAAACCAGAAAAGTTGCGGCATTCGCTCCCCAAACCACATCACATTCGTCACACAAAACTTGTCGTCAACTGACATGACTTGTTGCTGTGGGACAGACTGGAAGCATGTTCACAAACGCCACACACATGGAGTTCACACACCCTTCGCGACCCTCTTCGGCCGCTCCTCCCTCCGCTCGTTTTTCTGTGCCTTGCTGGCGCTTTCTCACACCGCTCCCACTTGCCTGCGCCGCACGCGCACGCCAGCACGCTTGTTCACGCGCTTCGGCCGTCAGCTTTTGTGCGAAACGATTGCATGCATTTTGAAAGTGGCGAACGCTGACACTTGCCGGCTTTGAACCGGCATCATCAACTGCGCGTGAGTACCGTTCGTCCGCCCTGACGCAACGCGCGGGTCTTTCTGCACTTTCCACCCAACCCGTTTTTCAAATCCCCCCAAACCAGACTTTTGCCTTTTTGCACGCCGCGAGCACGCATCCTTCTCCCATTACACGCACGCACGCACGCACGCACGCACAACAAAACAACAACAACAACAACAACCACCACACAACAACCACCACCCAAAACAAGCCCCAAGCGCAACGAAACCTAAGCACACTTTCTACCCGACCACCGCCGCAGCAAAGCTGCCCTTCTTCTTCCCCCACCACATATCGCGCATATCGGCTCAGCCGCTGCTCATTGATTGCTTCTGCCGTGTTTACGCAGCGATACCTTCCGCCCCCCATCCTCCTTCCTCCTCGCACACTCCTGTCGCCACCCGCGGTGGTTTTTGTTCGAGCACTGGCGGTTGCAACGCTGTGTCGCGGTGTGTGTTCATTTTCTCCACCCCACTCCACCAGCAGTCAACTTGTTTTTCAAACAACCAACCAACCCTTACACACCCAAGACAGCGCGCGAGCGCTTCGAGCCACACACCCACATTCCTCGCATTCCCTCAACGCTTCCCCCTCTTCTTCTTTTTTTGGCGCGCCGTCAAACACATCAGGTAGGCAACCATTGTTCGCGCAACTTGGCCGTGACTTGTTTGTTTATCATTCTGGTTGTCATTCTGGTTGCGCCACTCCTTCCCCTTTCCCCTCCAACCAGCTCCACGTTGTCACATCACACACCAACACGCAAACAAGCCGCAACAAAAAAACTGAGCCGGCAGCGCAACGATCGCCAGCCAGCCATCATTGCTGCGCCATTTCACACACATGCACCCACACTTGCACGCCCATCCACCTTCACGTACACTCACCTGCACGCGACGCACAATACAACGGTGTCGGTGCCTTTTTTTGTTGCATCCACTCACCCTCCCCCTTGCTGTTCCTCAACACCACACCCTCCCGTGTTTGGATTCGAAAAGCAAACAGCAGCCACAGCAGCAACAGCAGCAGCTTCATTTTCCCCCACTTCTTGCTGTGATTACATCTTCGATACCAGCCAGTCACTGCACAGCGACTACAGCTGTCAGCCATCCATCCTCCAGCCATCGACACTCGCCGATTGACTTCGAAAGGTGAGCGATGAAGCAAGTGTTTAAAACCCACAAGAATCCCACCCCACCGCCTCCCAGGCTGATGCACTCTGTGTGTTGATTGTGTGTTGACGTGTTTATTTGAAACCTCCCTTTCAGTTCTGGTGCCTTCCCGCGTGCGTGCTGTTTTCTTGTGGGCGTGTTTGGGTGGCTGGGTTCGGCCTCGCACCCCAACGCACTCCTCAGCCTCGCACCCCACCCTTCCCCTCAGCATCGCTCCACAGCATCGCTCAGCTTTTGTTTGCTTGGAGCTGGGTGGGGAAAGGGTTCCTTCTTGCGTTTTTCCCCATGTGCGCTCGCGTCTCGCGTGTCGCTGTCATTTTCCAACACTCCCCCAAAGTGTTTGTGTCTCTGCTGTTGACCCCATTCCCTCGCTTCTCTACCTTGCCCCGTAGGCTTGGTACTTTCTTGTCGACTGAGCTCACACAACACAGCACCACAACCACTCTTGCCTCCTCCCTCTTTCTCTCTTCTCTTGTCCTCGTGTCGCTGTCCACGTCCGCCATCACCACCACACCACTAACACCACCACCACCACCACAATCTCTTTCTCCTCCTCTCTGTCTGTGTCAGAAGGATACCCACTTGAGTGGCCCATCGCAAAAAGCGTTGCATGCACGCACGCGCACCCACGCAGACACAGCCTCTCAGCGAAACCCTCAATCAAGTGATGCTGCCTTCCTCCAACCGCAAGCGCATCTCAAGTCCAACCCCCTTTGCTTCCCCAGCCAAGGATCACACAACCAGCAAAATGGACCCGGCATCGCTGCTCCCGTGCCCATCCCCGCCGGCCAAGCGCATGCTGCGCCTGCACCACGACGACCGTGTCACGGACGACGATGAGTACGTCCGCCCCGCCCCTCGCGCCCACGCCCGCGCCAGCCCCGCGGCTCGCCCCATGTGGCGCCCAGCACGCAGCGCCTCCACAGCGACCGGCCTCGCCGCAGACTGCGACTGCGCAGCCGGCACCACGTCCCTTGGCCCTCGCCACGACGTGTCTGCCCCCGCGTCTGCCTGCCTGCCGGCTTCTCGCGGCCGTGCCTCCAGCTTTGACAACGGCTCCAGCCACGCCAGCACATACCAGCCCCGCTCCCCATTCTTCTGCGCCAGCGCTGCCACGACCAGCACCAGCAGCAGCAGCAGCAGCCTCGACGTGCCCCACTTCCCCTTTCCCTCCCCTCCACCGACAACAAGCCATTCAGGCGCCGCCCCTTGCACCACCACCAGTGCTACAAGCAGCACTGGCCCGACGCTCTCCGTGTCCTCGACGGCGTGCAAGTCGCCAAGCCCGCGCCGTGTGAGTCGTGGCCTCTCCTTCTCCTCCCCTCACCGCGCCCACACCGCGACGCCCATCACCACCCCGCTCGCCAGCATGACCTCTGCCAGCTCCCTCGACCTTGGCGCCGTCGCCTCGGCATCCTCGTCCATGGACATGCGCTGCGACGACGACGACGACGAAGATGACGAGGAGGAGGGCCGTGGCAGTGACGCCGAGGCCACCGCCATGGACACGGTCGTCGCCGCCCACGGGCATGCATGCATGCACGCCCAACAGCACAGCAGCCACCACCACCACCACCACCACCAGCAGCCGCACCGCCACGTCTCCACGGGCAGCAGCCGAAGCAGCTGGCAGCCGGAGGACCCGTTCAGCTCTGCCAGCAGCACGCGCCGCAACAGCCTCACCTCGCCCAACATGCTGTCCGGCGCGCGCCAGGCCACGCTGGATCTGCCACAGCGCACAGCCACAGCCAGCGCGCCAACCACGCCCCCTCGCCCGCTGCTCCTGCATCGCCGCACCTCCTCCACAGCCAGCCCCACGGCCCAAGCCGGCGCACACCAGGGCCAGCAAGCCTCCCCGTCTGCCCACGGCAAGCCCACGCTGTCGCGGCCCAAGCCCCGCTTCAACCTGCCCACGTCCCCATCGATGCCCTCGTCGCCCTCGCTGTCGCCGCGCCACCACGCGCGCCTCATGCTGCCGACATCGCCGTCGTCGTGCCCAACAACGCCGGAGCCAAAGAGCCGCCGCTTCTCCCTGCTGGAGCGCAGGCGGGAGCGCGCCATGAGCTGGACGGAGAACGGGCGCCGGCCGTGCATGAGCCCAGACCTCATGCGCACGGGCAGCCTGCAGCTCAACGTCCCTGTCAGCGACATCAACGCCGTGCACAACGACGAGGACACGCGCGTGGACAACATGCGCGGTGACCGCGTGGATGCCCTCTTTGATGCCGCGCTTGCGGTTGGCGAGGAGGAGGCCGCCAAGCAGCTCGACGCCTCGTTCTCAAAGGACGACGCATAGGGCGCCATTGCCCCGAGCTTGCTCTTGGCCCCTCCCCCCCCCTAATCTCTTGCTCGCGTGTGTACAGTATATACTCTTTGTATGTATGTGGAGCTGTGTTATGTATGCGAACCACGCACCGCATTTGTCCATCGTTTTGTCATTCTCCCCTGTGCGCTCCTCCCTCTTGTGTGCTTGCATGCACGCACGACTTGCAGCAGTTACCTGCGGCGCCGTTCACTCGTTCACATCGCCATCCTCTTTGTGTCCCTTGCTTTTCGTTTTCGTGGTGTCTTGATGTTGGTTATTCTGTGTTGTGTGTCATCACATCATCATTAGCACCACGTTGATGGCGATGCCATGCTGATGCTTGTCATGAGGCGCTCCTTTGCTCTTGCACGTGCTCTGCAGCACACCACTCTCCTCGCTCTCGCTTTCTTTATCTCCCTTATCTTCATTGTGTCCCCTCGAGCGCTATCGTTTGTGCGTGGACACACTTTGTCTTGCTCTGTCTTGCTCTCTATCTAGCGACCCACATGCCACATGGATGAGTGTACACATGTCCTCATGTATTTGTGTTTCTGGGATGTGTTGATGTGCGTGTCTTGGTCGCATCTGTCATCCCAGCTGCCTTCTTGCACCTTCCTGCGTTGCTGTCACCAGTCACCTGCCACTTGTCTCTCGCACACTCGCCACCTTTATCTTCTTCTTCTTTTTCTTTGGCGCTGTGCGCCACTATTGTGTGTGCTCTCCCTCCTTCGCCTCTCTCAACTCGGATCACCAGAAAGATTTATTTCTCCGCCGGCGTACATACGAAGACAGTAAACAAGCACTCATGTCATGTGTCACAATGTCAGCTCAGACAAGCGAGAGGAGGGCATGACCGCAGCAGAGCAGCCACAACCATGATGATGATGATGATGATGAATTGGTGATGATGATGGTGATGATGGTGATGAAGCAGACCACAGCACAACAAGGCGAGCAATGTGCTTGTTCTTCTGTGTTAGCGACTCTCAAACTCAGACTCAGGAGCCGTTAGCTTTTGTTGCGACGTGCTGTTCGAGCATGTTCGATGCCACGCGTCTCCCTCCTGTCGTGCGATGACGCTCATGACGCACCCACGTGAATCCACTGACGCACATGTCCACGACCACGACCACTGGGTCAGTGCACGCACGGCTTTTCCCTCTGCAGCTCTGCGTGCTGCACTCTGCATGCGGTCATGACAACTCGCAACATGCACGCGTGTAGTTCGCACGCAAACGAAAAATGCAGAACCGTTCACAACAGCAAAAAAGAAAAAAATGCGGCCGTGGCAGCCAACACGACAAAAAGTAGCGCTGACAAGAACAACAACAACAACAACCACGCTGCTCAGTTCAGCCAGCCAACCAACCCTGCTTGCTTTGGCTGTCCTGTGTTGTGTTGTGCTTGCTCGTTGATGTTGAGCATTGCTGTGTATGGGTGCGACACGCTCACGCCACAGAGTATCAGCAGCCAACCAAGCCCCAAGCGCCCCCCAAAACAGAGCAAAGGCGTCAGCTGACCAGCAGCGATCAGCAGCACACCAAGCAACTTCCTCAAACAATAACGATGACGATGAGCTTAAGGAGAACCACTCTCCACAGTGCTCAGCACAGCCAAGACACAACAACACCTCACCAGCACAGGAGAAGAGGAACAGGGACAACAAGGAGAGCCAGTGGAACAGACAAACCAAGGGGAACAGAGAGAGCAAGGGGAACAGAGAGAGCAAGGGGAACAGAGAGAGCAAGTGGAACAAGGAGAAGAGTATTGTCACTCTCAACGATAACCATGACAACAACACCAAATATGGCAGTGGTGTTGGTGCTGGTGCTGGCAGCAGCGGCTGTCGGGGCTCATGGCTCAGGTGCCAATGCCGCTGTGGGTGATGATAGCAGCGGGTCGCTCGTCTTCCATGCCAGTAGCAGCCAGCTGCTCTCTGCACACTCGCTGGTGCACACGCTTGGCTCGGTCGGCGACAGCACCACCAGCGGCGGCGGCAGTGGCGGCACAAGCGGCAACGGCGCCAACACCGTGTCCAGCGCCGAGCAGCGGCGCGGGTGGGCCAACG